GGGACTACAACCTCCCAGCAGGCTGCCCTGAACACTGCCGACGCTCCAGTGGCCTCAGAGGCACCCCCCCAGCCCCGACATAATTCCTGCGCAAACGCGTCAACTGCGTTCAGGGGCGTTCAGTGAACGCGTGTTCACAGCGTTCAAAAACTGAACGCAGTACGCGCGGTAACATAGGGCTTTCAGCATTTGCTGAAATCCGAGACTCGGTGCACTCCAACCAACTGGAGTGCTGCAACTGTATGGACCCCACTTTGTGAAATGTTGGCACAGAGGGCTCTTGTTGATTTGCTGGCCCGCCTTCACTTAGGGCGGGCACTAGGCTTGCTGGGGCCTTAGCCCAGAACATGTACATCATGGCAACGCCCCTACTTGAGGCTCAATCCTCACATTCCATCCCCCTTAGCTTCGAAAGTCCGCTGAGATGCTTACTTCGCAGCTGCCTTCCCTTTCAGTAGCCTCTCATATTCTGCCACCACCTAAGGAGCTGTCTCAATCAGTTCCTCCCTGGTAAACCATCGATTTTCTTTCGGATCCGTATGATGCCTGAATCTGACGCGGTACTCTCTCTTGGGTTTATGAGGTCTTCCTCGACCCAGCAGCTTCAGAACAGGCATATCCCTGTGATCCACAATGTCGTCGATGTCCACTTGTCCATCCATGGTTGGGGGCAGCATCGATCTCCTGGAAGGGAATTGATCTGTCTCAGCGAAAGGTGGAAGCTTTGAGGCATGAAAGACTGGGTGAGTGCGTAGGTCTCCAGGGACACGAATGACATATGTGGGACCATCCATCTCATCTCCCACTATATCTAGGACTTCCCAGGGACCAAAGTACTGAGGCATTAGTTTCCGAGAGATTCCGAACTCCTGTCCTAACTCACTAGCCTTGACCCAGACTCGTTCCCGTACTTGAAATGTGGACTGTCTGCGATATTGATTCTCAGAAGCAATCATTGCTTGCTGAGCTTTCTTCATATGCTTGACAGCCTCTTGCAGCAACTTCTCATACTGCACACCATACTCTAGTGTGCCTGAAGTTGCAGCGGGTCGGTTTTTAGGTAGGAGGAAGTCTAGTGCTGATCTAGGTTTCCATCCCAAGTGCAACTGATTAGGACTAACGCCGGTACTACTATGGATAGCATTGTTGTACAAGCTGGCGATGAGAGGCAACTGCTCATCCCAATCATCTTGGCTGGGCTTGATGTAATGCCGCAGCAAGTGTTGTACAACTGTTCATTTGTTCGGCTTGTCCGTTGGCTTCGGGATGATTCCCTGAAATCATTTCAAGTTGACTGCCCATCTGTTCTGCAGTCTTCTTCCACAGTTCACTTGTGAATCGGACATCTCGGTCACTAACGATTGACTTTGGTAAACCAAAGTCATGCACCCAGTTGTCTTTGAACAACTAGATCACGAAGTCAGTTCTTGCGGTCTCTGGCATAGCCACTAGTCTAGCGTACGTGGTGAATCAGTCGATGATGACGAAGATGTGCCTCGTGCCACTCTTACTAGTCACCAGGGTGTCCATGAAATCCATGGAGACACTCTGTCCTAGACCAGCAGGGATAGGCGAAGGCTTCAACAACCCAAGCGGTGCTTGAGTTCGCGACTTATCCCACTGTCAGACTGATAGGTCTCTACGTACTTCTTTGAGTCATCAAACATACCAGGCTACCAAAATCGTTGTACTAAGTTAGCACTCGTCTTCTTGTAGCCAAAGTGCCCAGTTGCGTCATGGCATTCGCCTAAAAATAAACTACGCAAGGGTTCACTAGATGGAACTACTAACCTTGTTATTCCTGCCTTATCAAGATAGAGTAACACGTCCGCCATCACAAACTCACTTTCCGTGGCCTTGTCTTTTGCCTGAAGCTTGCGAATGATGTCCAACATGACAGGGTCTTCCTGATAGGCTCCCACCAATGATTGAGTTACTTCTTCAGATACGCCAAAGTCAGAAACTCGCGCGCCTAGGTAGTCTGCTCTATGTGATAGCGCATCAGCAACCTTGTTATACTCTCCCTTCAGGTACTCAAGCTTGAAGTCATATTGGTCTATGACCTCAATCCATCGCTTGAGGGCGTCAGAAAGAGCCGGTTGAGTCTTGATCCATTTGAGGGTCTGATGATCAGTCCTCAAGTAGAAGAACCTTCCTAGAAGGAAGTGTCTCCAATGTACAAGTGCTTTATACAGAGCATAGAGTTCCCTCTCGTAGGTGGACTTTGCCAACTTCTTTGATGGCATCTTCTTGCTCATGTACTCAATCGGTCTCAACTTTTTCTCATCCTGCTGAGCCAGCACTGCGCCAATGTCGTATTGGCTTGCGTCAATGGTCACTATGAATGGCTTCTGCGGATCAGGAACCATGAGAACCTCAGGAACCATGAGAACCTCATGATTCATGAGTGCATGCTTCAATCTCTTGAAAGCACCCTCGCACTCATCACTCCAGCCCCACGGTGTGTCAAGTCGAGTTAGATCAGTCAAAGGAGAGGCGACTGTAGAATAGTTCTTTACGAAGTTTCTATAGTAGCCGCACATTCCTAAGAATGATCTGACCTCAGTGACTGTCTGAGGTCGTGACCAGTCTCGAATACTAGCCACCTTCGCATCTTCCGGTCTAATTCCCTCCGCGGATACTTCATGACCCAAGTATAGTATCTTTGTGCGACCGTACTCACACTTCTCTAAGTTGACCTTATACTTGTGTTGTCGCAGGAGTGAGAGTACAGTCTCAACGTGTTGTGCGTGCTCCTCGGCAGACTTACTAAAGACCAGAATGTCGTCTAGATAGACCACGACAAACCTATCTAAATGGTTATGGAAGATCCGATTCATAGCGTGCTGGAATGTACCCGGCGCATTACAAAGACCAAAAGGCATCACTACGAACTCATACAAACCATAACGAGTCTGAAAAGTTGTCTTGTGTTGGTCCTCAGGTCTTATTGCGATCTGGTGATATCCGGATTTCAAGTCTATCTTGCTATAGTACTTGCATCCCTGCACTCTATCCAATAGGTCGTCTATGCAAGGTAGAGGCTCTGCGTTTTTCACCGTGATGGCATTGAGGCCCCTATAATCAATGCACATCCTCAAAGTACGCCCCTTCTTCGGTACGAATAGTACGGGTGATCCGTAATGGGAAGTACTAGGCCGAATCCAACCCTTCTCTATCAGCTCCTTAAGTTGTCGCCGAAGTTCATCTAACTCGGCGGGGGCCATCCTATAGATCCTTCCCTTTGGGGTCTTACTCCTTGGAATGATTTCTCTAGCGTGGACGACTTCCCTTTCAACAACTCCTCTGGGCTCCTCGAACAGATCAGGGAACTTAGCAATGACGCGTTCTATCTCTGGGGGTGTTTTAACGGCCTCCCCCTTCTCAGAGACATAAACAAGGTACATACCTTCCTTTTGGTTTTGCTTGTAGTAATTGTAGAACGCTGATACGCACAAACAGCCATAGGTATCTATAATACTACTGGCCTTGAACTTAGTCAATCTGACAGTTCGGCCATCCGACAACTTATGCTTGAGCACCTTCTTATCCCAGTCGAACTGGGGCTTAGCAACTTCGGGGTAGTACATGCCTAATAACATGTCAAATGGTAAGTCGTCGCTAACCAAGAACGAGATCTTATGGTTAAGCTCACCTCCTCCAAAGGAGACGGTACAGACTACGTCCTTGATGTAGTCTGTTACAATCATGCGCTCCTTGTTGGCCAAAGTAGATGCTACTGGTCTACTAAGGTGTCGTACCCGGTCCTGTAGGTGCAACCTTTCCAAACAATCGTGACTTATGTAATTTCGCGTGGATCCGATATCTATGAAGGCACCACATTTGCGGCCTCCTACATCCACTTCCACCATGAAATGTTCCCCTCTAGGACCTTTCTTCAGCGCCACCCAAGACTCATGAGGGTCCTTGTTTGACCACTAACCTTCTAAGTCTTCTAAGGCTTCAGACACATCTAACGTACAGAGCATAGTTTGGTCTAGATGTGTCTGCGGAGTGACTAAGGAGTCATTAGCTTTGGCCTTGTCATGAAGTGGGGAGGGTATCAATCCCACTTCATCTTGATAAGAAGCAGCCAATACTTCCATCGGCCTCACGCATTTCCCGAGCTTGAAGCCTGGGAATAAGACGCCCCCATTTTGGGAGCAATCTTTTGCTTGACCTTAGCGTTCTGACAATTGTATTGCGAGTGTCCGTATTCCCCGCAATTGATACAAGCGCCACGCACTCGGCGGTCACGCCACACGTCTTGGTCAAGACCTGCCTTCACCCATTCAGCCTGCTTGGTCTGATTGGAGGTGGCCTTTCCTTGACTCCTAGGTTGGCCCTTCCCTCGGCCACCTGCCTCAGTCTTTACTACCGCGGCGAGGGTGCTACCCTCAGCTACCTCCTCGCCGTCATACTCTGAATAGCTCATCGGGTCAGAGAGTTCGTCAATCTCAATTTGAGTCCCATCAGACTCAACCATCATCAACTTTGCTCCCTTCTTCTTCCACTCCTGATGACTCTTCTTCTTCTTTGAGTCATTCTGTGAGGTGGGTTGAGCATTGGCTAGAGTGACCTGCAAATCTAAAGGCTTTCTAGACAATGTCTCAAACGAATGATACTCTGTGCGTGCCTCGCTGGCAAGCAATTTCCTGATGATCTCAGGCAAACATCTAACAAACGTTGTTAACAGGAACTGGTCACTGTAGTTGATGCCTGGGACGAGGATCAGACTCTCAACGGTAGTCGTAAGCTCTCTAACTGACCTGAACTTTCGTTGGTCTAGTTTGTTAATGGCGTCAGTGGCCTTCTGTGCCTCCTGTGGATTATGCCATCGAGCTTCTACCATTTCCATGAACTGGTCTAACGTCAGAGACTTAGCCCAGTCCGCCATGCGTCGCCCGTACCCGGCCTTTACAACTACTCCATCTAGCCACTTGGCTGCCTTACCCTCAAGGTAGGATGCAACAGTTACCACTTCGTCCTCAGGCAAGGTCCTCTTTGCCTTCACCCAAACCGGGACCGTTCTCAACCATGTGTTGAGTTTCTCGTCCTTTCTTTCGCCTGAGAAGGCAAGAGGCGGTTTTATCGGGGTCTTAGGATACCATTGACCTTGGTGCTGTCCCTGTGGTGGAACAGGTTGTTGCGGTGATGTAGCAATCACTGTTGGACCCGAAGAAGAAGATGCAACAGTCTGTGAGGCTGCTGCAGACGTACCACTTGGCTGTGTACCAGCTTGAACTGGAAAGGGGCCTGACATCGCCGATAACGGCAACGGCGATTGCGCTGGTGGCCTAAATCCTGGCCTTGTCAAAATGTGCAGGATCTGGTCCAAAGTGCTCTGCATGAAGTCCAACCTGCTGTCCATGTGCGCATGCAGCGACAACATGTTGTCCCTCAACACTTTCATGGGCTCATTCATTCCTGAGTCATCCAAACCCTCTAACTTATATTTGTCTGCCTCTAACATATCAAGCCTGGCTGTGCTATTCTTTATCTCTTTCTCCCTATCGGTTGTTTCCTTCAGTTCCCTCTCTAATCGTTCACGAATCCTTTCGACCTGTTGGAGCTCCCTAAGCTCCCTTTCACGAGGAGTCAACGGGTTGAACTGCGAGCCCGCCATTTGACTTGTAGACTGTCGTGATCCTGCAGAACTGGAAGTGTCCGTGGACCCTGTTGGCATTCCAAACTGGGGTCCAGACGAGAACGCAACAGAAGTTGCAGCGGAGGATGCTGCTGCAGAAGACATGGCTGTTGCAGAAGACATGGCTGCTGCCCTGGCTGTTGCTGCAGCCTGTTCTCTAGCTGCAACATTTGCTACCTCTCTCGATGCTGCGAGAGCACAGGCTCTGCATTCGGCACTAATGCGTCTTTCGTCTTCCGGTTGTAGGACCTGGAACACGTGCAGGATCCTACATGACCTTGCACGTGTTAGTCTACGATCGTCAACTCTCTCCTCATCGACGTCTGACACGTTCATGAATTAGGCAAACATTATCTGTACTAGAACCCCCTAGTGGAATCCTACCACAGCATGTGTCTGACCGACACCTAATTTTCTAACAATAGTTGTGTCCGGCAGGTCCCCTACTGTACCGATCAAGTGGCATGTCTACAACATTCACTACAGATTGTCTACATCATCTAGATGTACCCTGATTGGTTCACTTACAACAACATTAGATAGAACTGGCTATGGTAGCATACAACAGTCCTTCTCTAATCTGTCTGTGAGGTGTTAGCAGTCTGTCCACCAACTAATCAAAGATACAAAACGACAATGTAGCAGATGTATGATGAGTGGGTATGGTTGTGTATTCAGTTAAGCACCAATTAGTACTTACCCTCCCCTCAATCCAACATGCCGAACAACATAATTGAGCGAGCAGTGTCTTCGTGTGTGTATCGGCCCACCCCTGTGCCCAAGTCAGAGCCAAGTAAGCCTGCCCTTGTACGGAAACGAGCCTTACACCCGGATGATCTGGCTGATCAGGAGGATTATTAAGAGCGCCCCCATCTCTTCAGGAATTCTTTAACGTCGCAGTCAGGACGACGATCACAGCCAGAATCATTCCGAGTACCCAACCAGAAATGTTTATAGACGGTCTGGTAAGCGTCTCATACAAGGCTGGCACACTTGCCAAGACTTCTATTTGGCGCAACAAAGTGCCTTAATGGACAGCAGCCATCGCATGCGTGACCTACTCCCATTGGGTTGGCATGGTGACCGTGACCCAGTGCTTCGACTAGGGCCCTTCATAGACACCGCCCTTTCTCCTTCCAGATGCTTCCGGGAAGATTGTCGTCTCTCAAGGTAGCGCGCTCGCGACACTGTGACGCCCAACCTCACGCCCAGCGCGACTTCCTAATCGGAGTGGAGTGTGGGCCTGGAAGTGCGAAAAGGGGTGTGCCAAGGATTTTTGGGAAAGTGGGGGAGTCTCAAGGGTATGATTGCAATTAGGCGAATGAGGGGTGCGTGTGCAAGGGACTCAAGGCCCGATGAGGCCCGGGCACTGTGGGCTATGGTTCATGGGGAAATCCCTGCGTAGTGGAGGTGGTCCCGAAAGGTTAGGCCGTCGGGGGCCGCCACGTGGTGCAGGCCGCCGCGTACTGGGATTGGGCCTTCGGAATTCCGGAGTTCTCTGTTCGCCGCGACGTCGGCAATTCACACAAAACATATTGGGCCAATAGGGGGCTATGGACGGCCACGGCACGACGCTAAGTTGATGATACGGGAGAAGAAGGCGGAAAGGAGGGAAACTGGTGGTGATGACAACAAATCCCGGGTGGGTGAAGTAGTAGGTGTGGTCGGGGGAAGGGAAATCAGAGCACCTAGGGTTGCTAGAGGTGGCGCAGTGGAATTCCCGCGGACACAGTTGATTCTCCGTGTGACAAGGGTATCGCGTCCTTATGAGCTCGTTTATCAAAGGGGTGAAATAGTCCGGGTCATAGGATGAGTCTGAGCTCCAAAATCGCGTCATGGTATCATCGTCGATGGGATAGCTCGGGTCGGGGTATCGTTACCGCGTACGAGCACGTGTAGGGCAGGCAGACTCGGTGGCGCCTTAGCGTGCTCGTACGGGATGACGGTCCCGCCGCGAATCCTTTTTAAGTGAGCGAATCGACGCTCGGGAATGCGTGTAAGGGCGCGACTTGGATCGCGCTTACACGTGTTCTCGCGCGGTGTTCGCGGGACCAGACTTCGGATCGTAGATTATGCAAGATGCAATCATATCGCAACCCCCATCACGGGATAAGCAAAAACGGGAGCAAAATCGTTATTGGGGCCAGATTCTCACCCCATCTACAGCCGCATCGGGTGTGGGCAAAAATTCGACACAAACAAAAAGCAAAGACACAGATTCTCAGCATAAAGATCGACAAGTAGACATAACATCCATACATCCATACACTCGACAATCATACACACAATGCAATCGGGATGGACATAGCAAGACAAGTGCGAGCAAAACCCCAAGCCTTGGTTTCCGAAAGCCGAAACGAAAATAAGAACGGGCAAACCGCCCGAAGCCGCAATCAAAATGTATGTACACAGATAGAGAGGGGGAAGAGACAAAGAAACAGCAAATCCGCGTCCATCGACCTCAACTCTCTTCTTCTCTCTCTCTCTCGCCGATGCGGACAGTCCGTCGTCACACACCAACCCATGAAGTTGTCACCCCGCTTAGTCCTCCCGCACCCGTCGGATTCGCCTGTGCCCACAGTCCGTCGTAGCCCACGTCAATCCCGTGCGTTCGGCACCAGCCCGTCGGGTCGCCCAACTCCTACTCTACTCACCTCTTACTTCGCTCGTGTGCCGACCCTTCCTGATCGCGCAACCCCGAGCTTGCAACAATGGGTTAAGAGAGTGGACTAATCGCGCAGCCGAAATTTATAGCGTGCATGCATGCGCGAAGAACACAGAATTACTAGGACTTAGAGTGAGGATTAGAGAGGGAACGCCTGTGTTCTGCATGATCGGCCACGGCGTGGGGGACGTAACCCTTCTCCACGCATCGATCCGAGCATGCAAGTCGCGGCTTACAAAATTTCAGCAAAAGAAAGAGAGGGAGGGCAGGAGAGACGAGTGCAAGAAGAGAGATACAGTTACAATGGCGCCCGCCCAAATTACAGTTACACATACGATTAAGGGCGCCCACTAATCAGAGTACCGTTGCAGCCGCATGAAGAAGCGCGTAAACAAAAGGCGCCGCGCGGCAGAAAAAGTCCTAATTACTGAATTCCTAAATTCCTATCCACTGCGAAAAAGCAAAAAGCACAAATTCCAAACGAAAGTCCAAAATTCCGAGAGCCATTGGAGGCTCGACAAAATTCGAAAAAAAAAGATTTAAAAGGAAATTCAAAAAAAGAACAAAGCAATTTCCCGTGCGATGTCCGCGCCCAAAAGATCAAAACCGAACCAAAAGGAACGACGTGAACATTTATTAATTGCGCGCGCGCGTGACATCGTGCCAGGCAACCATCCGACTCATCAGTCCACCGGCCGTCCCAAGACACACCCGACCCCGTGCCCGGCCATTCGAAAAAGAAACGACGAAAAAGGACGAAAAAGCGAGGACACTCATGCAATTCTCCACCGATCCCGATCTCCCGTAATTGGCCCAATTTTCCCAACTTAGGACCCCTCATTGCAACCGCGCAGAAAATCGCGCGTTACAGAAAGTGGTTCGTCACAACACCTCACCAAAAGAGAGGACTCTCAAGTTGGACTCACTTCCTGACGGTAAGAAGAGATTGAGAGAGTAGATAAGGTAAGGGAACAACGTACCTGGAGATAGCTGCCTCCAACCACAGATTTCTCACCAATTGAGCTGAATGTGCATTTGATGACCGGTCATGACCTCGGTACCACCCACAACGAAATGCAGTGCCACCTCAGTCGAATGCAACATCAGCATGCTCTCATTACCAATCATACATTCCGCATGTAACCACGGCATACACTGCCGTCTTAGCCTTCCGGCGCACCCCTCTCTACCTAGGGCGTGCGCCTATAGTGGCCTGACGTCACGAGTACCCACTGCGAAGAAGCATGCCTTCCGGCGCACCCCTCTCTACCCAGGGCGTGCGCCTATAGTGGCCTGACGTTACAAGTACCCACTGCGAAGAAGCATCGTCAACGCACCAAGTCTGTATAACGCCAGCGTGCCAAAGGTAAGTGGCGATCAAACCAGCTCCGATACCAAATTGCAAGGAACATGAATATGGACGAAGCACAGAAATCCAGAATGCAAAATCACACTGAAGTCCAAGTAGTCAAAGCCAAAGCAGATAGCACAATGGAACCGAGTAACCATCCAATTGAGAATGATACAGAAGAATCGTGAGTCAATGTCCATGCCCAACAGGGCAACACCAACAGCATAACCCAAATGTAGCTCTGTCTTGTGAATGGCGCCAGGCGCCCTATCTACTCTACAGCCTATCCTACAACTACAGCAATGAAAGCAAGCAGACAACTTGACTACCAGCGAGTGATGATGTCAACACCAATGTCGACCTCCACCTCCACCAGGTACGTGTCCTCTTCACCCACACAGCGCCCTTCACCTCCAAAGAACCACCTTCGCCCTTCACCCCTCTGCGCCCTCTGCAGCCCGGCTATGGACGCCAAGCGCCCAGTGCACAGGCAGCGCCCTACCGCCTAGCGCATGCCTGCCTTGCACCTCTTCTTAGCGCAGCGCAGCAGCCAGCAGCTCACATTAGCGCAGCGTGCCGGCATGCCCGCAATGGCCAAGATCCCTGCCCACTCGCCCTGCTTGCCTATATGCCAGTGCAGCGTGTGGGCGGCCTCCCTTCAGCCTGTGACCGGGACCCAGAGGCTGAACCCAGCCCGATACAGTTGGGCCCCGGGGCAATGCAGTTGCGCCTCCTTCATCAAGGCCTGCGGCCAGATTCAGATAGTGGGCCGATTTCCCTTTGGCATTTTTGGCCTCTATACCCAGCATGCATTGTCGGCATCACATTCGAGTGCCCAGGGCCTAACTAACTCAGAGGCCCTGGGCTTTCAGCATTTGCTGAAATCCGAGACTCGGTGCACTCCAACCAACTGGCGTGCTGCAACTGTATGGACCCCACTTCGTGAAATGTTGGCACAGAGGGCTCTTGTTGATTTGCTGGCCCGCCTTCACTTAGGGCGGGCACGAGGCTTGCTGGGGCCTTAGCCCAGAACATGTACATCATGGCAAGGCCCCTACTTGAGGCTCAATCCTTGTCATGTCTCACATAGCAAACATCAGTCATTGCATTCAAACATGGACTCAGAGGTTCAAACACATAAAAGCAGTATACATGGAAGCACACCACTCAAGAACTTCAAGTAGATGGGAGTAAAGGAGCCGAGCGCAGGTAGTTTGGAAAGATAAAACATGAAGCACAGCGATGTCAGGCGAGAGGGGACCCAACGCCATGTTTCTGCCGGTCGCCTGTCCGGCGTCATCAGGGGTCGTGATACCTAGTGCAGGATGGGACGCTGGACTCCTGCTAGGGACACCACTTTTGAGTATCGTGACCCAATGTCAC